GAAGGGCACACAGGTAATGGGGGAAAAAATAAGAACCAAAATATATCATGTACAGGTGCAAACACCCAATGATAAATGTAAACGTATTGTATACCGAAAATGTACCAATAAAAGAACTTAAGAAAAAACAAAAAAGAAAAGTAGTTAAAGGATCAGACTTAGAGTCCTAGGTCAATCCCCAGTCAATTTCTTCCAGGAAAAATTAGAAAATAGATAAGGAAAATCCCATATGTTAAAATGTCCTTTTGTTTATATTTACTCTAATTTATACATCTTTGAACAGGTGTTTCCTTTTAATAAGACCTTATCTAAGAATAAGAGAAGACACACAGTCTGTGTAACAGAGGTTGTTAAAATAAGCTTCAGATAAATGGTTTGGGAGGACCCCTGCCAGATAATGTACTACACATGCCACTTTTCCTCTGCCACAGGGAGAAGCAGAGACAAGGCTTTGCTGAGTAATAAATATATTCACAGGAAACATCACCAAATTCGTAATCTCCAGAGTAAAAATGAAAACATAAAACACATTATGAATAATACAAGAAATATCAAAGTAAAGCAAAGAGTATGTTAGAACGGGAAAATGCAGTGACCAAATTCCTTATTACAGCATGTTGTCACAACAAAAATATTTATATTTCCACAGATCTCTAATACTATGGGATAAAAGGATCTGTTCTAAGCAGTGACCAATACAGAAAACACAAATCTTAGAAGCTACCTGGAAAACATGTTCTGTTCTGTACATGTGTTAGTGTCAGTGTCAATGAATATTTATTGTGTTAGCATTGAGACTTGTCTGCAAATACTTGCAGTAAAAGCACAGAAACTATCCAGTCCTTTCCCCTAGGACATTCTGTTCCAAAGAGCAAGGTGTATACATAGCCTTCTCTGTCTCTGCACAGGAGACGCCATTGTTTTCCTTCAATGCAGGATTCTCAGCAGCCTCACTCCACCAGATGACAGTTCAATCAATGGGGCTTACATGTGTATTTGAAGAAACAGAGAAGAAAACAAACTCAATGATCCTGTACAAAACATTTATTCCTCTTATAGGGAATTTAAGGAATGATGAATTATAGAAAGAGAAGTGGATGCAGCCGGGGATCATGAACTAAATGCCAGGGGTGTGGGTCAGATCACACCCTCCAAGAAATAGGCTCTCTCTCTCTCTCTCCCCACCCCCAAACTATGAAGCCCTCTTTGTTTGTCTTTGGTTGTCCTAGACCCAGGAGCTCAGAGAAACACTAGTTCCCTAAGTTAAGAAGATCTGCCGGCAAGTGTGATGATAAATGATAGCCCACTCCAGCGAGGGAGATACATGGAACAGAGTGGCAGCAGTGAGATTAAAACCTACACAGCTGTGGGGTCCACTTGAAAAAAAGCCCTCACAATTACACATTAGGTGGTAGGCCTCCGAAGCTCGGGCCTGAGAGTGAGCGCCTGTCTTCATTATGCAGGACATATGCACCTCTGAGGGGAAGGCCTGTCCAGTGTCAGGCCAGCCTCTCCTCCACTCCAGCTCATGGCTGCCCCTGGGGAACTGGCCAAACTGGCCAGATCTTAGGTCATTGTAAGAATAGCCAGAGATCTGGATGTTTATGAGACAGTCTTCCCTCTTTTAAACAGGTACTAGAAATTCAAATTTCAAAACCATAGGAAGCAGTTTTTCAGACTCAGCCTTGAACTGTCATGTTGGCACCTCTGGCAAACTCAGGGACACAGTTATTGAGGTCCCCAGTCCCAGCTGTGCCTCTCCTCACTCCTCATGCAGGCTGGCAGAGCTGAGCAGCAGCACTTACAGAAAGTCTGTGTGAGACACCTCCAGCGTTCATGATTTTGGGTGAGGAGTTTGAGGACAGGGTATGAACATAAAGAAAATCTTATTGCAGCATGGCAGAAGGAGAGGACAGACTGAACGTGGGAGGAGAGCTACTTCCAGACCCCTTTGAGAATAGATTAAATTATCCCCTTCACACAGTGCCTGGACAGCTGAGGCACAGGGAAGACTTTCAGGCAGCCTCTCTGAAAATGTGGTCCACGGACGACTGTCTCACTCTGGAGCACCTGGTGTGAGTGAAAATGCAGCTCTATGAGTCCAACCCCAGGAAGCAATGTATAAGTCTGCTCACACATTGTGTGTGAGGAGGGGAATAGGCCTCTGCACTTTAACAGGTGCCAGGCTATTCTCAGGTAAAATGACATCTAAGAAGCTCTAGAGAGAAGGCTTTCACTTTTATTTTTTAGTCTAGTCCAGAACTACTTGCATGAGTGGACACATGTGGAAGTATTCAGACTTGCATTTACTTGCATTGGTGCTTCAGGAGGAGTCACTCAGGTGGTCCTCAGTCACCCACTGCTTTCTTCCTGACCTACACATTTTTAATTCTGAACCTGAATGGCTCTTGAATCTGCCCAACAAAGCAAACTATTGACACTTTACAAATACCACATAAGCTAAAAGAGCTGTGTCCCAGCAGGTTTAACCCCCTGACTTACTCTTTGGCATCCTTGCTGGTGCACTGCATCATCAGCTATATTTTGTTGACACTTAGCAGATGAAGTGTCCTGAAAAACCAAGATCTGCAGTATATAAATTACAATATGCTTACAAGGGCAAAACCATACCAGGGCTGCTTATTAACATATTCTTGATTACACTAACTTTGTATCTAACTCTTGTGTAAAAAAAAAACCTCCAGGTGTTTCTATACCATAATATTTTGTGTTCATGTGGTAGCACAATGCAACCCCCTTTCTCCAAAATACCTCAACCATCTTGCCATAATATGCACTGCAAATTAGAGCGTTGGTCTGTGTCTTCCTAATCAGTATCAAAAGCTGTGCAATTATTGGTGTGTATACTTTCTTTCCTTAAGAGTAGAGACCATATTTTCTGTAATAGGAAGAAATCGATTTCCATCATTTGGTTAACATAAAACAAGCAAAAAGTAATAGGTGATTAAGGCCCAGGATAAAGGGAAGATACTGTGTGAGATACTGAGGAACTGAAAAGCCACATTACGACCTGACAGAGCCACACACTGAGGAGGACACTGTCTCACTCACTGGGGCTCTTTAAATAATGTGAACCTGAGAGATGATAAAACCCATGTGCAAATACAATCTGTTTAGCTATCTGACAGAAGCAGACTGAAGTCTTAAACATCCTGTCCTCAACCCAGAGGGCTCACA